CATATATTGCTCAGAAAAATCTTGGAGTAGAAGTGTCGGTTGTTAGGTGTTTGACTAAATTGAGAAGAACGATATCAAATATTGAACAATCTTGAATTAAGTTTACAATAAAGATATAACGGAACTTCTTTATATAACAATGCGTATTACTACAATTAGACATATGTATGAAGCCTGGATATAACGAATCCCTCGATATAACGAAGAAAAGTGTCCGGTTTCACCGTGTATTAGAATGTAATGCTTGTGAAACCATTCCGATGAAAACACGATAAACGCGATGCATGCAACTTCAATAACGATTGCAAAGGGGCAGACAACATTATCGCCAAATCAAATCTTTTTCCTTGTTGAATGCATTTTTTTAAAGCCTGTTTCTACATTCCAAGTATTTTGAGTAACTTAAACTTAAACTTGAACATAATCACAAATTTATTTAAACATTAATTAATTATGAAACAATAAGGTGAAATACATACAGCAAAATTGGCTGCTTTACTGAGAGTCGAGGGTTGCAGAAAATCAATTCCCAATAGTGCTATGACTAAACCCAATTCAAGCTTTTCTCAACCGCTTTCTCCCACTCCTTATACTTTGTTTCACGTTGCTCCTTATCAAATTTAGGAGAAAATACGGTTCTATTTTCGGCATTAACACTATCCAATTCACTCAGCGATTTCCATATCCCAACAGCGTGTCCAGCCGCAATTGCTGCACCCAGTGCGGTAGTTTCACGCATCGCCGGACGATCTACTTCGATGCCTAGAACGTCGGCCTGTATCTGCATGCAAATATCAGAGTTACTCAATCCACCGTCGACTTTCAAAGATGCTATTGGATGACCCGAGTCTTTGTTCATTGCATCGAGAATAGCTCGCGTCTGGAAACAAGCAGCTTCCAAAGTTGCACGCGCAATGTGATTCTTATTCGTATATTGTGTGATGCCTACAATGCATCCCCGAGCATCGTCTCGCCAGTAAGGCGCAAAGAGACCCGAGAATGCTGTGACAAAATAAACACCACCAGTGTCCTCGACATTTGACGCCAATACATTGATTTCGGGTGTATCGTTAATTATGCCCAGATTGTCACGAACCCACTTTACAGCTGAACCAGCTACAGCAATAGAGCCCTCTAAGGCGTACACAGTAGCCTGTTTGCCAAACTTGTAGCCAACTGTAGTAAGTAACCCGGACTTTGAGATAACAACATCAGAGCCCGTATTAAACAACATAAAACAGCCGGTACCGTAAGTGTTTTTTGCGTCCCCTCTATTAAAACACTTTTGGCCGACAAGAGCAGCTTGTTGATCTCCAAGGATTCCTGCAACCGGTATGCCTTGTAACGGGCTTGATATTTTTACAGTGCCGTATACCTCAGCAGAGGATACAATGCGTGGCAGGATTGAGCTTTTGACGCCAAAGAATTCGAGCGATTCATCACTCCACTCTAGCTTATGTATGTCCATGAACATAGTGCGTGAGGCATTAGTGACATCGGTAATGTGCAAGCCGCCGTCCAAGCCACCTGTCAGATTCTGTGTTATATGGGTAAAAATGAGTATAATATTACAAGAATAAAACATGACCTTAAAATATAATGCTGTGCATATTACCCAGATGAGCCATGTATCAACAGTTCCAAACAAAGCTGTGCCATTCTCATGAGCTTCCTTGACTGCAGGAACGTTTTCCAACATCCATATGAGCTTTACAGCAGAGAAGTAAGTAGTTAACGGAAGGCCGCATATTTTCTTAAGCGCATCGATGCCACCCTCAGAATTATTAATCAAACGATGAACCAAGTTATGAGTACGAGTATCAGCCCAAACTATGGCATTGTAAAGGGGTTTTCCAGTCACTTTATCCCAAACCAGGGTCGTTTCGCGTTGATTAGTAATCCCAATTGCTTTGACGTCCTTTACAGAGAACCCTTTAGCTTCGAATTTCTTTGTGCATTCTTGAATACAAGTAGTTACTGATTGTAAGATGTCTTTAGGGTCTTGTTCAATCCAACTTTTTGATTCAACAAGGTAATCGCATGGTAAGTATAAGCCATCGATTTTTCAACGGAAAATATGCGATACATACAGTAATTTGCCCTTACCCTGGTTGGGGATAATGTTGATCGAATTCAAGCTGATGGGACGTAATCAATCCGCCATGCTCGTCAAAGATCAAGAAGCGAGAAGAGGTGGTACCTTGGTCAATCGAACCGACAAATGATGGCATTTTTTGCGATATATAATTTGTAGAAAATGAGCGAAAGGGTATGCTTATTTATCTAAACCGGTTTTACTAAATGTGTTGAGATATAGTTTCACATGATTATCAATTTTATGCAACACGAAATTTTAAACACACCTAAATTTGGCCGCAGATCAAAAGTGTGGTAGAATAAAAAGTCAATTCGTACAATATTAAATCGTGATTACCACGCATGTGTTGGAATGCGTCGGTTTATTATGTCGAGAAAACAAAAGTAGATCACTACTCACGCTTTCAATTCAAAGTACAAAAGGGTTTCCAATACGTCAATCGAAAAGTTACTATCAATTGGTATGCTATAAAAAGATATGCTTATAGCATGTGAGGTCTATTGCTATGTACACAGGCAAACTCGATAAGTCGGTCTCTCGATGATTCAATTTTGGCCTAAGAAGGCCAAAACTTCCCAAGCCCTTTTCTCAGTTTTAATATTTAAAATCTCTCGATAAGTCGGTTCTCTCGATAAGTCGGTCCATCATGCATGACCGACTTATCGAGTTTGCCTATGTACTCACATCATAATAATGTTACATAGGGCAATGTACACACCAGTCTGCTCAGTAACCGGGTGACACACCATACGACATGTGCCTTAACAAAAAAGAAGGGTTTCTAGTGATTAACTATTCCAGATCTCAGTTGTTGGTACGTGACAATCGAGTGAAATTCAAGGCTGCACACCATCATTCTTTCCTTACCGACTTTAATACGTAACGTGAAATCAAGCATATCATCGTTCTGCCTACTGACTTCCGCTCACAATATGGATGGCGATTACTGGGTTTATAATGAGATACTTGCAAGCTATCAGAAATAACCCTCTAATGATCAATGTTCTATATATGGGTTACGGATGGGAAACTAGACACGAAGCCATTTAGTGAAGCGTACAAGCAAATATCAGCCTGATCAGGCAGGTGATGGAGCAAAGAGATAGAATGTATATTGTATGTAGATAATATCGTTACTTACGTAAAACGTATGACCTACCTGAAGTCTTCTTATATCTTCCTTCGATGGCAGTGCATCTACATATTCTGCATCACGATCTGATTCATACGTGGGGTGGTTGATCGTGTATTTTTATTCGGCCATATCCAATAAATAACCAACAAAGTAATTATAACATTCCTTCAAAATACTCTCACCCTGACCTCTATACATTTTTCAGCTGATTCTTCCAACTATCGAATGACCTGTAATTTTCTCTTTAAGGAGACTCAATAATTGACTGAACACAATTTCTGCCTTGTGCGGCGCAGCATTGTCATCACATGTTCTACTTTTTCGGCACACAGATCGAAAAATGAAAGACTGTGACGCGTCAAACTTGTATGATGAATTTTCTCCAGCTGACGTGAATAAGATAACTTGTCTGTGTGAACATGCTGGCAGGCATGAGAAAGAGAAAAGTCAAGGTAAGCATAATTGTGGCATTAGAGACCCAGATATTACCACAGCTGGCGTTGGCGTGTATAGTAGAGTGTAGCGAATTATGTGCTTCTATCTATTCGTTCTTCCATTCGTTTGATCCCTATTTAATTTATCGTCCGTAGAGCCCTCACCATCGTTGAGCCAAGTTGATTGGACAAGTTAAAGTGCACACTCTGTCCTCACCTGACTACGTTCCGATGGCCCGAAGACTCTCAGCTTGTAGTCCTGCCGTCAATCTTACTATTACCAAATTAATATTGTCGGTAATAAATATTTAATATTGGCGTTGAAGAATGTTCGGCCTTCGTAAAGTTTTCGTCATTTATTAATGGTGGTAAAATCCTTGATTTCATAATATCATGTTAATTTAGTATATAAAAACCCTCAACGCTCAGATAATGTAATTAAATAATAAAGGTGTCAACTCGAAAACGAACAAGTCTTTCTGCTGCTCAAAAACGTGAACTTTTGAGGCAAAAAAATTAAAATAATCCAAGTTTAAACAATGCTGAACTTGTGAGAGAATATAATATAGGAAAAGTGACTGTGACTGATATAATATTATGTAATTTTGGCTCTTTGGTTACAATTGTATCAAAGTAGTGAAATGTCTCAATGGATGCACTCAAGCAGTCTTTTATCGACAAGTCAAAAAAAAATCTTTTGTTTATAGGTTGCTTGATCAATGGAGGCCTTGGTGGGAAGCTTTTATGTTAAATTTACTTTCCTTACATTTCTTCTATCTTTTGTTTTTTCCTTGGTTCAACATAAGTTGGTGGTGTTTATTTATTGTTTTTATTTTTCGCTCCTCTTGATAAATTTCGTAAATTTTTCTTTATTTAGATATTCCTGGGAAATTATGCTATTATTGATTTTAAAAGGAGTAATCTTTTCTCCATGAGCTTTCTTTGAAATGCTTCTAATGGTGCTGTAATTCTTTGGTTCTTGATGTAAATTAGTTTATATTAATATTTTATATAGTAATAGACACAATCCTATATTAATATTAAACATATTATAATTTTTAGCAAAAATCTGTACCAGTTTTGATTAAAATAAAGTTAAGATCGAGATAGTCAATAATTTACAACGGTGCCACTAATACTAAAGCAAACCTTTCCCAGTCATTTAGTTGATCTTTCGGCCGCATCAGCCATTTTTAGCAAATGTCTGAATATATTAATAACAGTAACACAAATGTCCTCCTGTTTCAACTAACTCAATGGTTGAGTTTTGTGGAAGCAGAGTCCAATATTTTGTAATCTGTCGTGTTGCTAACGTACCTTGCTGGGAAGTGTCAGTTGAGAGCTCGTTCGCAAGAGCATTGAGTGGTCACTCGGTTAAACGAAAAGTCTGCGTCTAGTTCAGACGTCGTATCGAATAAGGTCTTTACAAACTTTCAGTATTAAACAAATACTGTAGCATATATTAATATGTTGTTTCTAGACAAATATACTATTGACTATGCAGAATATAGATAACCTATCTATACGTAATTAGTTTATAAAACTGTAGCAATAAATAAATAAATAAACAGATATAATTATCGTTACTCCGTATGTACAGTTGGGAAGGTGTCCATTTTTGCAAAGTGTTTCCTCCGATATACACCGGGAACGTGCAATGAACATTTAAAACAATCACTATACAATATCTCTTTTACTATCTTTTGCCACATCTTCTATATTAATATCGAAAACTCTTTTGAGCATTACATAACAAGATACGACGGCTTTGAAATGTAAAGTTTTTCGAAAAGGATTCTCCTGTCGAAGACAAAAACCTCACAAGTTACCAATTGCAGTCAAGCGTAAACGATGACATAATGTGTCTGTTATACTAAGCAACAGAAAATTGTCTCTTATGATTACTCGTGAAAGTTGGATGACTTGACTTCAACGGCGTTCACGTATGTGGGCTCTCGACGTTTAACATTTAATAAAGTCTAATATGATGACCATCACTCTTATTCTGGTTTTGACATCGGCCTTTGTTATTGGAGTGTATTCTACAGTGCGCGAAAAAAGTTTTTGGAATAATATTTTTATTATGATGAAAATTTACAGATATGCTGCTCAATGGCTTATTTTAATCCATTCCCGTCCATTATCTTTACGGCATGCTTTGGATCAAATTAACAAATGTGCTTTTTCCAATCTCTTCCCAAAGGCTTTTATTTTTAAGCTTCTTAATATCATGGCAAAATAATAGTTAATTTATGACATCTTGAGTACCATTTTGCCCAGGCGTCGGTCAATCAAGACTCTGTCATTGTATTTTTAATAACAAAACGAAAAGTGTAAACAAATTACACAAGTAACAAAGTAATGTGACCGAGTTTTCTTGTCGGCATTACACGCATAAGAATAGAACACACAAAACGTATTAGTTGACTGTTTTGATTAGACGCGTATTTTTGGAAAAAAATAAAGTTTATGCATTTTATTCCAAAAACTTTTTCGCGCACTGTATCTCTGGAGCTTTATGGTCGGTGTAATTATTCCTCACTCGTATGGATTTGTCTTTGGTATTGCCGAGAGAGTTGTATGCTCGTAGTCAAAGCTTCAGAACCGATTTCGTAGACAATAGCTTCATTCAATGCAAGCACAGGCTCCATATGAGGTTGCATGTTTCAAGCGCGTTTTCGGTTCACGCCATTCAAATACCGACAACCATAAACATATTTTTAACCATTGCAATATTTTGCTTATTTGAAAATCAAAATCGTAAACACATAAACTCTCTCCTCAATGCTAACACCACCACCACCAAAAAAGAATTCAAGCAAAAGGAGGTCCTCAGCTCCCCAACCTACAAACTTAAGATCTTGTTGGAACGGAAAAGTCGCGGCATAGTCTCAGAAATTGTGTTACCCATTGTGACCGATACTGCTGCAACCTCATCCACTCCCCCATACTACAAAACTCATGGTTTTCGTCAACGAAGCGGCGAGTACGAGACGAGACAATACCTGGAAGCTCTCCATCGCACGCTGCTAATCAAATTATATCCTAATCACCTTCAAAAGCAGCTATTGAAACGGTGGATGGGCTTGTCGAGATATGCTTACAATGCAGTTATCCGCTGGGGTCGATACCGCCGTTTCTATACCAAAGATTCGCATATTGGTCCATCACGACGGGTTTGAATAAAATCTCAATCTATTGTCTTAAGCTTTACACGGATGTTCGCATAGGAAAAGACGTTAATGGCATGAGAACAAGAGACTTCAAAAATCATGCGTATGGGATAAACGCAAATTCGTGCGAACTGTTGTGCGTATTGGAATGCTTGCTTCAAGGTGTATGACAAAGCGCCTGCAAACATTATCGATGAGGCGATTGATGAAGCATTAACTGCTAGGTATGATTGTTATTTTTCGATTTATTTATTTATTTATTCATTCATTCATTCGTTTATTGATTTTATTTAACTAATTTTAGGGACAAGATAATTAACCAAAATATAGGATCAACCACGAATCAGCAAAGTTCGTCTTTAACATTTCGATCTCGAAAAGATTTACGATA